ATTTGTAATCTGTTCCTAATGTTTAACACTTGGAATAAATAAACAATTCATATATGTAGGCTATTTTCAATGACTACTTATTTTTGTCCAGCTTTAACATCGGTATCGATATCGGTTATCGGCTACATGAGTTTTAAAATATCGGCATATCGGCCAAAATCCCAATATCGTGCATCCCTAACACAATTAGATGTTTTAAAGAAATAACTTTCATTGAGACGTCCAGACTGTTTTATCCAGACCTCATTTAGCTAATTTTTAATGTGGAAAATTCTCTGATTGTAAACATGAATAAAAGCCAATGAAAGTTCTTAAACATGGGCATTTGTCTCAAAGTGTGCGGGGCGGGTTGTTTGCTCCTGTTTTAGCATCAGATTGAGGGCCATGTTTCTGATTTAACCATCAATGTGAGGACATTTTGCTGGTCTTCACCTTGTTTGTGCTAACGGTTAGGTTTGGGACTGTGGTGTGAACTGAGTTTAGGTTCCTGATAGGTGTAGGTGTGCTCTAGGTTAGGTTTAAGATTATCGTCAGAGTTCAGGCATGAAAAGTCTGTTGTTTATTTGAGGAGGTCAGGTTAAAGATATGTTGTTAATTAAGTTTAGGTAAAGGTCAGAGGTAGGAGTAGTCCTGATTGGTTAAAACCAGTTTTGGACTGTGAGTGTCTTATTTCTGGGCCTTAGGATTAACAATTTCTTATAGATGTTTTCCTCTTTAAAATCAGAGGAAACTTCCAAATAATATTTTCCTCCAAGGTCATTTAATTCAACAGTCATGTTTAGGTGTTCTGCAGCAGAGAAGTCAGTCTTTAGACGTCCTCAGTCCTGACCACAGGACTGAGCTTTGCTGCTATCTAGTGGTTAAACTCCAGTAATACACGTTTCTCATCTTGGCAGAGGATGATCCTGTGTTCAGAAAGAATTTAATTCTGTCATAATCCCACTAAAATGTGACTGAGGATTTTTTAGTATAAGGACATTTTATGGCTTTATCATATCGTTGGGTTTCCTCGTTGAAGTGGTTTAAGTGTCTGACTATGCAGGACACCTGGCTTCATACTAGGGCTGCAACTAATAACTGCTTTGCAAATCGATCAATCTGTTGATTATTTTTTCAATTAATAGATTAATAATCAGATAGCCAAAGGTTCCTTTTTACGAAATTAAACCAGGTGAAACTAAAATGTTTCCACTTGTGGAGTTCTGGATAGAGCATATTGACAGACCACAATGTTTTTTTAATCTTTAATGCAAAATGTTCATATATTTATTACAATTTTGGTATAATTTCTGCTCTAAGTGGGTTTCTCTGTCGGCTAAAGGCATGTTTTACAGTCTCTATACTCCAGTTAACGATTAATTGATTGCTGAATAAGTCGACAATTATTTAAATAATTGATTAATCTGATTAATTGTTTCAACCCTAGTTCATTCCCTATTTTTATAATTAGGGTATCTGGTGTCAAACACACGAGAAATTCCCAAAGATCCTAAATGTGACCTGTTGTTTGACTTTGAAGAGGTCTGCAGACCTGTGCGCTGGGTTTGATAAGCCTCAGGCTGTGGAAGAGAGAAGGGACGACTTTGGATCTGATAACTGAAAACATTTATGGCAGATATCGTGTTGGAACAACTTTTGACTGATCTGATAAAAGATCTTTGTTCTGTCATATAAAGAGTCTCCAGAAGGAGATGTACGTATGTGTCTGAATTAGATGCGTCCCTTGTTGTGATCAGTGATCATGTAGAGTCAAATCTTGGCAGTGCAAATGTCTGCATCAAAGACCACAGCAAAACAAAAACACCCCAAACCTCAGGCAGCATGCGGCTGTCATGGACTTCATGCATGTCCCTAAAACAACATGTCCCAAAGCTCCTGCCGTCGAAAGCTCAGAGGTGGAGGCCATTTCAAAGAAAGACTTCATGCTTCATTACAGCCAGAAGGTGCTAATGATTCACAGAACCGTGGTGAGCCTTAAACATGACATTATGGCAGATGTGCAAAAGCTCAAAACCAAGAAAACCAAGCAGTCCAAACATCGGCTACGTCAGTGTTCCCTTCAACCTGCATACTTCAAACACACCGGCTCCTGGATGTGTATTCTGATGCAGCGGTTTTTATTTCCTGCTGTAGCTACAAAAGGCAGAGGCAGAAAACCCTTTGGTAGCTACACAGGGTTACCTTGCATCTATGAGCAGGAGGCTGTGATGCAGCGCTGAGGCTGCATTGCACAGATGCACCGTTAGGTGGCAGTGTTCCAGTAACTGCAGTGTAAATTATGCACGATGAAATGCAAACAAAAGGATGAATGCACATCATGCCCGTTGGATTCCTGAGAGGATACAGCAGCAGCAGTGCATCAAACGTGAGATGAAGACGGGGCTGTAATATTCTGCTTTTCACTCTTCTCCGTACTGATGGGCTTTCAGTGAGTTTAACAAAGCACTCTGTGCTCATTGAGCCTTTCAGTGCATTGCTCCTAATCTGAAATTTCCATGTTTCCAAGGGTTATTCTGCTTTTTTCCTCTTATTAAATTCTTCCATATTTTGGGCTGGATTCTATTTAGATAAGGGATGCCAAAAGTCTGTCCTGGAAGGCCGCTGTCCTGCAGGTTTTAGAGGTTTCCTGCTTTAGCACAGCTGATTTCCACTGATAGCTGATTAGCAGGCCTTTGCTGAAATGCATCTTCACATTGGCTGTTTCTCAATCTGTGTACTTGTGCGTCCTCGTGTCCTTGTGAAACCTCATCAGCCTCAGCACTAGTACTGTTCAGATTCACAAGAACAGCAGACCGAGAACTAACAAAAGTCCATGGATGTTGTTCTGGCCCCTCCCTCTTTACCCAGCATGCATCAGAGCAGACTTGTCCGTTCTCCAGACTGACAGCTGTCCCAGCATGCACTGCGGCAGCGGCAGCTTCCATGTTAGCGCTCACAGAGCTAAGAGTATTAAGTTAAAAGTTCTCTTTTCTGTTGCTGTTGTTCAGTAAAAGTACGTTTTAAGATCATTTGAGACGAGGACATTACACTTTAATTTTCACTATATGGCCCATTTACTTATTTAATGCGTAATTTTTTTTTAAAAGTTCTGATGTTGAGTGGACTAACGTTAACCCGCCTGCAGCAGCCCTCTTCCTGCATAGCCGCGTGTAAAGTACCGCTGGCTCTGATGGCAATTTATTTAGTTTTATTTAGCAAAATGTTCATTTCATTTGTGTTTATCTGACTGTGTTCATCATTATTCCCCCAATAAATGAAGAAAATCATCATTTATTATTATCTAGAGACTATTAATAACAGGACGTGAAATGCTAGCCTGGGTGCCATTCCGAACTTAGTCCCGCCCACAAGGTTTGAGGTCGGGAAGTTCGGTCTGGCTTTGCTCCATAGTAACGCGAGTATTATCGCCCACCCTCAGGCGAACCAATCAAATTGTCAGGGCGGGCTTTATACGATGATGGACAGATGATCAACAGTAATGTAATCAACCACGTGACCAAAGCGCGCTTGGGTGACAACAACAATGGCTGCCGCTGGAGAGTTGAGGTGAGTAGATTCTGCTATTAGGTCTGTTCTAGAAGATATCGACAGCAAATTAATTTTAAAAGAGGAACAGAGAAACGCGATCAAGGCTCATCTTCTTATTCTAGGCGTGCAACTGCACGCTTTGATTTTTGTTGACAACAACTATGCGTCGCTTAACATACGTCACGCACTCCGTTGCTCTTATTGGTTGTAGGTCTATCCAATTGAGCGCAGAGGCATTTTTTTTCCTGGTTCGTTGGAAACACGCCCCATAATCACAGCTCTATGGAGCAGCATCAGACTCATTCTGACTAGAATTGAGTCGGACTACGTCAAGCTAGTGAAATGCAGCTCCAGACTAGCTTTGAATGTGGTGATGTCATCAGTACGCTTCTGTTCCAATTGACCCAGATTTATGCTGCGTGCTCCCATTCTACCTGAGTTCAGATTTCCTATTTTGTTGTCAAAAACGTACCTGGCGAGAAAATTAGTCCATAATCGCGTTCTTGTAAATTGAGAAACGGCCTTTGAAAACCTGCAGGACAGCGGCCCTCAAGGGCCGACTTTGGCGGGCCTGATTTAGCCAGTGGAGGCTGGTCCGCACGATATTAGATGTTCAAGTTTTCAGGTGATCTTCAGACAGCCCACATATGAAGATAAAGAATTGGAGCTACAACTGGTTTGTTCTATTGTTTGGTTTGGAGACCCAGAGGGCGAGCACAACACACCACACATTAGCAGATCTCATTAGATAGTAAAGCTCACCAAACTCCAATTCAAACATGATTTCCTAGTAAATGAGCATTAATAAACAAACGCTTCATATGGAACCGCTTTCTGATCAGCTGCCTGGTGGACCTCCCTGATTTGGGAAGGGAATAATCCCAACAGCCTTCCGAGCAGACCCGATCACTCTTAATCATACACATGCAGCACGATAAGCCCGGGCCTCTCGGAAGGCACAGTTGTCTTGTCGTGTGAACCAAGAATTTGACCATTTCTAAACTTTTGAAAATGTGACTTTGCACATTTACAGGTTTCCTTTATATCAGTAAAATAGGAGCCAATTGAATCTCATGCTGCTGTGAACAGAGTGAGACAGAACGGTGACTGCACTGCTGCTGTTGTTCTGGACAGGGATAATAGAAGTCAGTGTTGGGTGGCAATGGTCAGAGAGACTGTTATTATGTTCCCCATTACCTACATCTGTAGCATGAGTAAAGTTTTCTGCAGAGACACAAAGGACAAAGGAAAGCTGTGGGTAAAACAGGAAGGAAGAACAACATGGTTTTAAACCAAGTCTCTGGTGTGAGAAATGAACCAATCAGCTGGGTTCAGTCATCAGACAGCCAACTGGAAACCATCCTGCTGGACAGGTCACACGCTTTTAGATGGAAGGACAACTGATGTAAGACACTATACAGTGAATAAAATGGAGAAATGATTGTATTTTAGATTATTTATAAATATGCACAAGAGCTGCTGCTGCTATCCCAGTTTCCTCTGAAAGAAAAAGGTCAAATTTACTGGAAAGTTTTGTTTCTTTTGGTGATATTTTGCCTTACAGTAGTAGACATTCAAAATTTCTCCACTTTCATTGATGGGACCTGGGCTGGCCCTTGACTGGTCCCTGGCTGGTCCCTGGCTGCTTCTTGGCTGGTCCTTGGCTGGTCCCTGGCTGGTCCTTGGCTGGTCCCTGGCTGGTTCTTGGCTGGTCCCTGGCTGGT